CGCTCATTCAGAAAGTAAGGAGGCAAGGGATTCAGGAAAATTTGGCTGTCTGGATATAGAATTAGCTATTCAACAGAAGACAGAGGGTGGAAGTAGATGGAAAGTATTCAGCCTGGAGCTCGGTGACCAGTGGTGTTCCGCAGGGATCTGTTCTGGGACCTCTGCTGTTTATGATCTTTATAAATGACTTGGATGAGGAAGTGGAAGGGTGGGATAGTAAGTTTGCCGATGACACAAAGGTTGGTGGAGTTGTGGATAGTGTGGAGGGCTGTTGTAGGTTGCAACGGGACATTGACAGGATGCAGAGCTGGGCAAAGAAGTGGCAGATGGAATTCAACACAGAAAAGTGTGAAGTGATTCATTTTGGAAGGTCGAATTTGAATGCGGAATACAGGGTTAATGGCAGGATTCTTGGCAGTGTGGAGGAACAGAGGAATCTTGGGGTCATCATCCATAAATCTCTCAAATTTGCTACCCAAGTTGATAGGGTTGTAAAGAAGGCGTATGGTGTGTTGGCTTTCATTGGCAGGGGAATTGAGTTTAAGAGCTGTGAGGTTATGCTGCAGCTCTATAAAACCCTGGTTAGACCACACTTGGAATATTGTGTTCAGTTCTGGTTGCCTCATTATAGGAAGGATGTGGAAGCTTTAGAGAGGGTGCAGAGGAGATTTACCAGGATGCTGCCTGGACTGGAGGGTGGATCTGATGAGGAATGGTTGAGGGACCTAGGGCTTTTCTCATTGAATTGGAGAAGGATAAGAGGTGACTTAATAGAGGTGTACAAGATGATAAGAGGCATAGATAGAGTGGATAGCCAGAGACTTTCTTCCCAGGGCCGAAAAAGCTATCATGAGGGGGTATAATTTTAAGATGTTTGGAGGAAGGTATAAGGGAGATGTTGGAGGTAGGTTCTTTACACAGAGAGTGGTGGGTGCGTGGAATGCACTGCCAACAGTGGTAGTAGAGTCAGATACATTAGGGACATTTAAGCGAATCTTGGATAGGCACAAGAATAATAGTAAAATGAAGGGTATGCAGGCTAGTTTGATCTTAGAGTAAGATAATAGGTCAGCACAAGATCGTGGGCTGAAGGGCCTGTACTGTGTGTACTGTTCTGCATTCTATGTGTTAATAAATGATAGAAAACTGAAAAAACAATGCATGTTGAGTGGATTGGATTTTTTTATTCAAATCAGTTGCAATTAAGATCATTATCTTCTTGAAAAGTGTTATTTACAAAATTGTTATAAGTTATGTTACAGCAAGACTTATTGGCTCCAGCAGACTAAAACAGATCAAGTATTCAACAGAGTTGCCACAAATCTATTCTGCTGGCTCTTTGGTTTTGTATTACTCAGCTCCTTCTCCATTACAAAGCACACATTAATGATTTATGGTGAAATCATGAACATTGGGGAAAAAGCTGGCATTTATTAGTAATTTCATTAGTCAGCCATTAAATAAAGAGCTACCTCGCAGTGATGTCATTGTCTCCTGTAATGTCTTCAAGATAAAGGAACAGCATTCGTTCAGTAACCTCTGCTCAATTAATTATGTTGTGAAATGTTCAAAATCGATTTGAAAGTTCAAACAACATGCACTCTCCAAAAAATGCAATTTATTTGGATTCCTGTCACTACTTCACTTTAAAGCTAGATTCTTACCCATATAGCCTTTAAGATGAAGTGCAAACATAAAATGTGCCAATAATTTAATAACATTAAAGGTCCAATACAAATGGGAAGATTTTATTCCAACTAATTTCACTTGAGATGTTTAACAGCAACTTGCATTTTTTTAATAGCTATTAAAGTACAAAACATTGCCAAGTATCCAGGTAAATGAGAGAAAAGAACATGGAGGGAAGGATTTCAAATAGAGCATTAATTTGTGCCGATTTTTTAGAGGTGGAGAAATTTGCAAAGAGAGTTCTAGTGGGATCAGATCAGATATAAACCCTCCTCCCAATAATAGGACAAAAGACACTGAGAGATACATATAAGGCAAAAGCCAGGAAACCAAAGTGTGTGAGGGGTGATGTCAGGGAACGATGCAGAAATGGATAGGGACAAGGCCTTGGTAAGCTTTCAAAACAATGAACAGCATTTTATTAAATTGAAAAAACTAAATGTAATTCATTAGCTTGGTGAAAAATGTCTGTTTGTTCAGACCATGTCTGATGGTTGAATGCACTTTGTGGGTGAAAGGGTATCTGAATATGAATAGAGTTGATATCAGGGGTGATAAAAGGTGAGTGGAGGATAAAAGACTGACAAAGAGGGAATTGGAATAACCAACGTAAAAGAGAATAAATATTTCGGCGGTGGAAGGTGGCTGTGTTACAGAGGTGTAAGCAAAAATAGTGTAGCCATGAAGCTCAGTTGTGCATCCACTAGGATCCTAAGGTTCTGCATAACCTGGTGCAAGCTGAACAAATGGTCAGGGAGGTGGATGGAATGGGGAACAAAGGTGCAGAGTTTATGCCAGGGCCTGATGACAGTGGAGTTAGACTACACAATGTTTAGCTAAAGGAAGTTGTAATTTTCTGTGACTATGTCAGGTGGGCAGACCAACAGCAAGGAGACGATCATCTAAACATCAACATGATTGTTCTGAGTTGACAAACAGGTGGAATTTGATCAAAGTAAAAACCTATTTAACGTAAGAAAATTCTCCCATAATTTAAAAAATTTAACCTATTTTTCTAATCAACCTGTTGAGAGAGGTTATTACACACTGCTACAGCAGGTGGGACTTGAACCCAGGCCTCTGGTCCAAGGTAGAGCTTGCATCCAGGCTAATTGCTTGGGCAACAAGCTTGGTGATTGGCATTACATCCTACTCATAAATCACACTGAAATTTACAGTGACTGAAAAAAAAGGAAAAAGCTTGCATTTATATGGCATCTTTCACAACCTCAGGACAGCCAAAGTGCTTTACAACCAATAAAGTACTTTTGAAGTATAATCGCTGTTGTGATGTGGCTTTAGCAGTAACTAATTTGCACACAACATGAACCATTGGATTATTTGCAATTTGATAATGATGAAATAATGTGGTGTAAAACATGGCCAGCACCCTGGGAAAAACTTCCCTAGTCTTCTTCGAAGTAGTGCCATGTGATCTTCCATGACAATCTGAGAAGGCTGACAGGGCCACTATTTAACATCTCATCCTAAAGTCAGCACCATGAATGGTGCAGCATTGTCTTAGTACTGTACTGGAGTGTTAGTCTAAAGTTCTTTGTTTGAGTCTCTAGAATGCAACCTGAACTCACAACCTTCTGACTTAATAGCAAGAGTGCAACTAACTGAGGCATAGCTGACAGATTTTTCCATTACTTGGTGTAAGGGTCATGACGTAAAAAACAAAATCCTGCCCCTGATATCAGACAAACAAATGTCTGCTTCCCCTCCTCATTGACTAAATGACATTGGTGTGGGAACTGTGGGTGTGCGGGGGGTTGCGGGGGGGGGAAGGGGGGGCAAGGTGTTTATAATATCACTCTCAAGTTTTCTTAGTTAGAAGTTTGCCGTTATAACAAAAAGTGCTGGAAATACATAGCAAGCTGCTCAAGATCCCTAAAGAGAAGATGCTTCATGAAGTTTTAGGCATGGACCCTTTATCTGTAATCATGAAGTACATATACCTGAATCCATTAACCAGCCTTCTATTGTTATTTCAGATTTCTTTCATTTCCAGTTTGTCCTTTTTATTCTGCTGATTGGCAGTTTGTGAAATTAAATATTTTGAATGAGATTGAAAACCAAAACCAAACTTTCCATCAACATCAAAGTATAGAAATTATTTTCTGACAATTAAAACAACCTGCAACATTGTAATTAACACATGAATTTTTAAACTAAAAATTAATGTAAAATTGGATATTGGAAGAAGTAGTGTACTGAGTACACTGGGGATTTATTATTAAAACAAAAGTGCTAGTTACGTTAAATTTGAGGCTGTCTTAGTCAATCATTAACTGAATAATTTGGCTCTGCTTTAATGTAGATTTTCTGGATTTCGTTCTCAAAATTGGATAGATTATTTTTCCTCTAATGCTCTCAAAATTCTCTTGGAGAAAAAGCTCCTACAAAGCAGTGAATTTATGTCTATTTCAGCTTCCAGAGGCCTTCACTGAATTAAGTCAGAATTATATCGGGCCATTGCAAGAAAATTGTTTCATGTGCAAGTATATTGTGCCTATGATATATGCTACATGATGTGACATTAACGTTCAGCTGGATTTTCATCAACATCATGTAGTAGTTGAGAAAAATATAATGTTCTTTTGTTTTAGCCAAGTTCCAGAATAAAGTGCCAAATTTCAAATATAGATTTTTTGAAATTATTTTTTCTCACTCTTTCACGTAAGTTTTGTAGGTGACAGTTTTCCTGGAAGGTATGTAGAATTTGGCAAATAAGCTATATCTGTGAATGGGTTTTTGTTATTCAAGCTGTATAATTATTTCATTATACATGTTCTTTTATTAAAGATTATTTTAAAATATGCTCCTGAATGATTATCTTGATGTCAAAAGATGGATTTAATTTTTCAAGGTAATAATTCATTGTTTCTTAAAAATCAAATATTTGAATGGTAAAAAATTCAACTTTGAGGGAAATCTTAAGTTTTCATCAGAGGCAATAGATTTGTTTATATGCCAATGTAATGTCTCCAGGGGCCCCAGAACTGGTTGTTTGGTTAAAAAAGATGGAGATATTTAATGATCCAACTTTTGATATACAAAGTTAGGAAAGGAGTTAAGAGCATAATTTTCCTAGTTTATTACAGTAAGGTCTAATGACACAGCTGCCTGTTTATTTAAGATAAAACAATAATGACATTCAAATGAATAATTTGTCTGCAATATGCTCTTACATTCAACATGATAAAAGAATATTATAGATCAGGCACAATTGTGCTTTGATTTTTTATAAAATGTCAGAAGTAGTTACCACAGCTCTAAAGAGCTACATTTCCTTATGTTTCTTCTAGGACATCTCACGCTAAGTCAAAATCGGAGGTGGCTGAAACAGCTGCTCAAAAAGCTCAGGATGAAGCGCAGCTTGCAAGGATCACTGCCAAAGAGTTCTCACCATCTACCCAACACCCAGGCAATGGTCAGTATGTTAAAAAACATTGTTTTTCCATTAGCCTGTTAACAACTGATTGAATTAATCAAAGTACAAAACACAGCACAGAAAGATGATCACTGTGTTCTAACAAGAATCAAATTATGGTACTGGATACCCTGATACTGTGGTAGGAAGGTTTATTCTGGGAAATATTAGCTAGAGATCTGAATATTGTCAAGAGATTTATATTGCATGCTTTCAGTAGCATACAGGCAGCTTGGTTTAATATTTAATCAGAAGAAGAACAGCTTGATTGTGCAATACCATAACACTCTACTGAGGTGTTAGTACTCAGTATGCATTCAAGATGTTACACTCTGAAGTGGAGCCCACACAAAATGAATTCCAATGCACCAGAGACAATATTGATCTCAAGCTGGTAATTTCAGGTTTTAATAAAATTGATAAAACAATTCATATATTATTAATGCTATATCTTTTGTGGATTTTGCATTACTGTAATTTATTTACAGTCCATCCTTTGGAGGAGTAGTCTGATTACTGTTCTACAATTAGAAAGTTAAATCATATTTGGAGTCCTTGAAAAATGTATTTCCCTTTTTTTTTTCACCGTGCTTTCTCTCTACTCCATACCTTTCATCTTTTTCCCTGCTGATTTACTTATTTTGTTTTACTTTCATTCTGTTTTTAATCTTCCCTTTTCTTATTCTTGCTTTTACATTTTTATACCTCTCTCTGTTCTGTTTACAAGCACAGTAATGACTGGAAAGCAGCAGTTGCTTTTTGCAAAAGGAAGGCAAATGTCAGCTGACTGTGAAAATTGATAGCATTGTTTGATTCTGATTTGTTCGCCATTGACAGGTTTTGCCAGTGAGTTTCACTAGTGGAGAGCAACATAATTAATAGTCTCCACTTCATATAGATTATATACGCATGTAATATGTTTCTGGGAGCAGAAAGGATCAGTTCCAAAGCAAATTAATTTTTCCAATGAGGAGTTGCTTTTTAGGCCTGAATGATAAAATGAATTTAAGGTTTTGTTCCTTATTTGAAGGTGATGGGAATAAATTCATTGATTAATTGAGTCTGGATTCTCTTCGCAGCAGGCAAACAAGGAACCCTCATGGTGCTGATGGTCTCCTTTCACTATCTCCTAGATATTCCAATTCAAGCCATTGCATTTCAACATGTTATGAGACATGGCAAACCATATCTTTATGGGCACAGGAGCTGGAGATAATTGCACAGCTTATCCTGGCCAGTAGGACAACAAGAATCATTACTTAATGTTTCCAAGAGTTCTTATTGAGGCATGAGTCTTGTTATAGTGTTCCTTTGTAACTCCTAAAGTAATTATGCACTGGGGCAAAAATGGGAGCAACCCGGAAGTAAATGACAATCAGTTAACCTGAGCTTTTCCTTCAGAGTTTGAGGATGGTTGAATTTTGAGAAACGAATGCATACTTCTAGTAAATTATACTGATTTCCAGAGTCATTTGCATGTTGCCACACACAATGTAGCCATTCATAAAGAGGAACCAAGTTGACCAAGTTAACTGTAAGAGCAGCAAAACAAAGGCTATATCTCACTGCTGCCTTATTGTGGTGCCTTACTGGGTAAATTCCACAACTCTGCAAAAAAGGAGTGTCAGCTACTGGATGCCAACTGAAGCACAAAGATTGCTATCCCTTCCCGAATTGATCCTGAGCCATATGCTAATGTTGCTGTGACCATTATAGTTACAGATAATGGTGCTGCTGATCCATATGAAGTAGGTGAAAGAACTACTGTTTTGTCTTTTTGGTGCAACCTTTCAGCAAAGATCTCCTCACCAATGCCTTCACAGGACTTATATTTTCTCTGTAATCTTTGGGTGGATGGGAGGAGTAACATGTTGGAATACATCCTCCTGAAATGTTGTGTCATTTTGCTGACTTCTGTCCTTTCTTCTTCTTCCTGTATGATAATGGCCTGAGGCATACCATACCTATGCCTGAGAAGCTCACATTTGGTGGAGGAGCAGTCAAATTTTCACCAGTGATGTTGCTCCTAGATAACTTGGTCCAAGGTTGTCATTGCTCAAAACAGAAGAAAAAACACTTGTGAAGTTGACCTCAATTGCAACACTTGCTATTCAAATGGTGAAGTGTCTTCCTGCTCGGGAGATTTGACTCCTGCTAGTTTCAGCTGACAAGAGCTGCACCTTATAGAATCCCTACAGTGCAGAAAAAAGCTGTTTGGCCCACCTAGTCTGTACGACACCTCTGAAGAGCATCCCACCCAAATCCATCCTCCCACCCTATTCCCATAACCCCACACTTACCATGGCTAATCCACCTAGCTTACACATCCCTGGACACTACAGACAATTTAAGCATGGCTATCCACCTAACCTGCACATCTTTGGACTGTGGGAAGAAACCAGGCCACCCAGCATAAACTCACACAGACACGGCAAGAATATGTAAGCTCCACACACGCAGTCACCCAAGGTTAGAATTGAACTTTCTGGTGCTGTGAGGTAGCAGTGCTAACCACTGAGCCACCATGACACTCTTATATTTCTCACTCTAACTTAATCCATTGCGAGGATAAAAGCAGGAAATTCAGAAGTGCAGTGCTATTTGCCTTCATTTCAATATATTCATGGAGATTCATCAGAATAGCACTGCAAATCACGTTTGAAACCTTTGTATTCAGTATGAGAAATTAATAGAAACAACTTCATGCCAGGTGAGGTATTCTGATGTTAGAATGAATATGAATGATATGGAATCTTGGAGCAGAATTTTAACATCTCAATGAATTGAGCTGATCACTTCAATAATGAATATGAAGAAAATAGTAAACAGTTATAGTGTACATTAAAAGGTTAAAAGCTTAAAATAGTGTTCAAACTTAAATAATGATAGGCTAAAAAACATTTCAAATATTAACATTTATTTCACACCTCCATTTTTAAAATTTACTTTCTTCCTCCCTTCACATGCACTTGTGCCATAAAGCAATCCATATCCAAGAAACAGGTTAGATAACATACTGCCAATCCTCAGCCAATTCTATTTTCAACCTAGCAACTAAGAGAAGCATAAACTTGACAGAGAAACTCAATTAATTCGTTTCACAGCTACTTTCCACTTCACCCAATTACTAATACATCCCAAAATGTATCTCAAATTAACATTTCCCCAAAACCTGAGGTTAAAGTAGAAAGTTCCTGACTTGAGAACTACTGAAGCACAAAAGCACATTCTGTCTCTCTGCAACACAATGTATTGGAAGTGATAAAGTATTAGTCTTTTAATGCAATTTGATTTTAATGGTTGATGCAATGAGTGGGTTAAAGTGGCTTTATTTCAGCCCTGACTTAATGCTTCTATATTAAAGCCTGAAAAAAATCTTATAGCGGAATTATTTTGAATGTGAAAATAATAGAACATGTTTTAGCTTTACCTTTCATTTGCAAAACCCAGTTCTGTTTTTGAGCTGTCCTGTATAAACCATTATAACCAGAAAGATTCAGTCTTGTACAACTCAAGTATCAACAGGAATCAAGTATGGCATTGACGAGAAAACATTTGACCTTTGATTTCCGCAAATTTATAATGATCTAAACAGATTAGAGTTTGGCGAATTACGCACAATTGTTTAACTTTAGAATTTCTGCACTTCAAATATTAATACCATTTTTGATGTAATAATTAAAAATACCAAAGTAGGCTTTAGAACAACGCCAATGCAGTAGTTCAATCGAACCTAATGGAGCTCAGTTTCCAGGATTACAGTCTTGATACAATTGCATCTTTTCAGTTTATATAGCTAAATAACAGGAAGCACTTAAGCTTCTCCTGTACCAGCATATATCTTGGACAACCTGAGTGGAAAAATATACAACCTCTTTAATCAAGGAGCAAGCTAATTACTAAGTTAACGGAGCTCTTGTGCAGTACACTAATACCAGCCTCAAGGGTACATCCTCTGCCAATTGTTTGTAGTCTTTCTTTCTAATTATTTGGCAACCTTGTTTTCTTAACTTCTGGCTAACATCTGTCCTAGACTTAAACAGTTATCATAGTCTTCTTATGTATCTCCTATCTTACTTAATGAATTACATTCTATGTATTGTTATAAATTGTCAAAACTATTTGACTTATTAAAATAGTATACTTGGACATAACAGAGTTCTAAAATTATTTTTCTATTTGATATGTTATATTGTGTGTACTGTATTTAAAGGCAGGTCCTGGTCTGCTGATATTTCATCCCGTCATTTCTTGGCAATTATAGTCAGTGGTGGTTTGCCTTTGCAATTTCCTCTCACTCTCAGGGGAAGAGCAAGGACACATACCCCAAGTCTACCTTAGCTGGAATAGTAACCTCAATTTGATTGTACCTTTGTTCATTATTGTCACAAGGCCAAATGAATTAGAAGTAGGGGAAGGCTGTTCGGCCCCTAGATTGATAATTTCATGGCTGATCTGAATGTGGATTCACCTCCACTTTTCTGTCCATTCCCCATAACCCTTGATTCCTTTGTTGAGCAAATGCCTAATTCAGCAGTGAATATATTCAATGGCCCAGCATCTTGTGTTTTCTGGTGAAGAGAATTCTACAGACTAATCAACCTCAGAGAGAAAAGAAAATCTTAGTGTTAAACAGGAGGCTCTTAAGTTTTAAATTGTATCCCGTGGTTATAAACTCAAAAAGAATAAACATCCTCCTAGCTTCCACTCTGTCAACTCCCCTCAGGATCTTATATGTTTCACCTTTCATTCATCTAAATAGATCATATAAACTTCAATAGGTAAAAGCCTGACTTGTTCTATCTTTCCTCACAAGATAATCCTCACATACCAGAATCAGTTATGATTATTTCAGACACTATTTACAAGGCCTGAGTATTTATCCTACAATATAGCTACTGTTAGGGGGTCTGTAGTTACTCCTACAAGTGATCTCTTATCTTTGCTATTCCATATTTTTACCCAAACTGATTTTAAACCTTGATCTTCTAACTAATATC